AGCTGGGATTTCTCAGAATGGTGAACATTCCATCTCCTCAAATGAGACACGCGGCCATTAAGTCGCAAGTTGATGGAGTTCACGACGATGGCAGAACTCGAAGTCCTGACCTCTGCCTTACCCAAGCCCTAAGACTTGGGGACCAACCATTGGGCCACAGGTCCGATTGGTCCCCTTGGCCTCCTTGTTCTAGGTTTACGATGAGGTTTAATAGTTCGGTTTTTGGCTTAAAGCCAACTGTAGTCCCTCTACTCTTAATTTTTATTCACGTCCATCCCTCTACGAAGAATTTGTTCATTGTCATCCTTGTACTCTCCAAAAGTAAGGATGGCAACGGGTCCCCACGGGGGCGGGGACCCCCTCCCCATCCCCATCCCCGTCAATGGCGGGTACGGGGATCCCCGCGGGAATTTTTGGCGGAGGGTCAAAAATTGCCTCCGTCCCCATCCCCGCGGGGAATAATAGGTCCCCGCGGGTATTCGGAGTCCTCGCCAAGGCGCCAAATAAAACTATCACCTATTTCACTGCTTTATCTTTCAGGTTCCATAAAACTCCTTTTTTGTATTATTTCTAGTTAAATAGACCTGCATGCATGCACCTCTTACCAACCATGTAACAATAAGCCAAACAAGTTTATAGATGATAGGGAAATGGGTGGCTGACATAGGAAATCAAACACAACATGGTTTGTAACAATGGATCATCACATTGAAGATGAAGACCTTAACTTTTACATAGACAAACCCATAGCTCCACTCTATGGTTGAATTGGTCTCAAATTCACATCCCAACTCCCTAGTGAGAAGCTTGGCCATGACCAGCAGACTACGAATAACAAAATTGAAAGACCTAACCACCACACCAGTTCATCCTACACACAATCCTATGCCAACTTGCTGAGGAAAAAAGGGGAATAAAATAAAGGGGAAAGAGACTTCTCTAAAATAGACAGGCAAACACCACAAACACCATAAACCATAGGAAAACAATGCTGACCTTTACAATGTTGTCCTCTCCACCAGATACAACCCATCGGCCATCTGGAGTAAATCTAATTGCATTGACACCTCGAGTATGGCCAATGGCTGAAGCTCAGCTGGAGGTGAGCGGTGAGTTGCAGGGCAGCAAGGGCCAATGGCTGTAGTGAACTAGTGATGGCTGAAAATACCACAGATTTCAAAATACCAGACATCAGAAGAAAACTCAAAATTGTTAAATTGGATTTGTATGTTTGGGAAGACAATATTGACCTAAGAAAGCTATGTTGCTAGGATGCACACAGGTTAAAAAACTCAAGCATAGTTAAACACAAATCAGGGCCCAAAAATTCACAACGATAGTAGTACAAAAATGAACAGCGCTTCTGTAATACATTGGGTGATGAAGGATTTAAAAAAAAAAAAAAAATGAGCAAACCATAGCTCTCTTCAAATACATCAGATTTTGTGTTTCAGTTGCTTAATGAATGGATAGAAGGATCTACTAACTTAGGTTGACTGAGGTTGCAAAGTACATTCATATTGCATAAAAGAAAAGACCTGAGTTACCGATTCAGAAATTTAGAATAAAAGAATGGTACAGACTTGTGCTATGGATGTAAAGCACTCAAGAAGCGGAAAAAGAATCAAAGATCTTTATCTGCATTTGAAAGTTGCTGCCACTTTTCAATTAGTGGTGGCATCAAAATTTCAAGATAAAGTGGCTGCAAATTACACCGTGAGTCCGTTTGTCCGTGAGTGAAGAGTGTGGCACTGTGGTAGAGGATTAGAGGAGAGGATCAGAGGAAAGTCGACCGAGAGGCGAGACTCGCGAGAGATGAATGGGAAATCTCTAATTCGAAGCAGCAAGCAAAAATCCCTAATTCGAAGCAGCAAGCAAAAAGGGGGCTGACCGGCTGAAAGTAAAATGTCTTTCTGCTAGGCAGCTAGGGTTATATGTAAATTGGGCTCTAAATTGGGCTCTAAATTGTGAATTTGGGCAATTAAGTTTAAGAAATAGGAATATTAGATTTACAAAAAAAATTGGGTTGGGCTAAAGAAGTGAGAATTGGGTTTGGAAAAATTGAAAATAAAATGGATTGTGAAATTTAAGTTATGTTTGTATTTGGTTAGCTAATTAGGCTGGGTAAGTAAAAATTAATTGTTAATAAATGTACAAAAATATATATATAAATAAATTTATATATTTTTTTATTTTATTTGGATCCCCACGGTTCCCCACGGAGTGGAGAAAATTCCCCGCGAAATTTCACAGGTAAAAAATTGCCTCCATCCCCGCCCACGGGTAGGAATATTCTGAGAATCTCCATCCCCGTGACGGGGATCTCCGTGAAGCTCCGCGGGTTGCGGAGAAAATTGCCATCCTTATCCAAAAGCACTAAATGTCAGCCCTGTACTCCCCTTATTTTGTCTGTTGTCATCCTTTTATTGACGGCGTTGTTTTAGCCGTTTGTTTGGACCATTTAATCCACAAACGGTCAATGATCAACTGTTGAAGCATTTCTTGAAATTTATTATTCTAAGTGTGTTGCCAGCTAGGAGAGAAGCAAGGGGTTTGGGTATCAGAGAGTGAACATGCATGTTGCTATTTTCAAATGAGATTTTGCTTAATCTAAAGACAAATGACATTCTAAGTGTTGCATCTTGTGTTTGAATTGCAATAAATAAATCATAGACATAAAAATATTTTTTAATTTTTGCATGTTAAAGGTTTATTTATTATATATT